TGTTCCAGGGACTATCTCATGCGCTTTACATGAATTAATTTACAGCATCCACATAACAACTCTGTGAAGTAGGTGCTATTGTTTTCCTCATTGTACTGATGAGGAAACAGGGTCACGGGAAAATGTTTGCTGAATGAGGAGGAATGCCTGTGTGCTCCTTTACATTTTGAGAGGGACTGCACTGTGACTTTGGGTTGAAACTGCAAAGAGGTTGTTCAGATTGGTGGGTAAAGGGTGATAAAATGAAAATGAGCTTTTTAATCACTCACCTGAGTTAATCTGTATAGTTCCAGCAATCTTGCCATGGGTATGGACAGCGCCGACTGAGGTCCCCAGTTGGAGCAGGGATAGGAGCGTGAGCTCAGCAACTGTAGTTGGATATTGGGTTTTTGGACCCTGTCAGGAGGCATGTGGTTCCCTGAAGGGCCCCTGAGATGAAGCTTCCAGACCTCCAGATGGAAAATCCTAGAGTGAGATTGGGTAACCGATGGATGTCTCTGTTGATTTCCTCAGTCACAAAGAAGAAAACCCAAATTGCCCAGTAACACCAAGCTGTGATTCTTAGTAAACAACAACAACAACAAAAATACAAATGAAGTTTTAGAATTTCCTAAAACCTACCCATATCTTTACAGTCTTTTAATGAGTTTTTTTTTTTTTATGTTTTTGTTTATTTTTGAGACAGAAAGCATGAGTTGGGGAGGGGCAGAGAGAGAGGGGGAGACAGGAATCAAAGAGGGCTCTGCACTGACAGCAGAGAGCCCAACTCGGGGCTCGAACACACCAGCTGTGAGATCATGACCTGAGACGAAGTCAGACACCCATTCTACTGAGCCACCCAAGTGCCCCATGAGTCTTTAAAGAAATATGTCCACAAAGAGTCTTTGCTTTCTTTGGGCGTGATGAAAATCACTGAATCTCCATTCCAGCTCTCCAGCTCCAGATGATCCCGTCTAATGTGTTCAGGGCAGGGATCAGGGTGAGGCAAATGAAGCAATCACCTTGGATGCAAAATTTAAGAGGGCACCAAAAAACTCAGTAATCAAGAGAAATAATGTTTTAATGCAATATTTTCTAAATCAAAATTAATGCAAAAAAGTCCATGAAAACAAAATATCAGACTTTTAGATAAGACAAATTGTTGTTTGCTTGTTTTATAATCCAGGATTATTGTGAATTTGGAAGTTATTTCTAATCAGCTCATGGTTCCTGGACCATGAAGCCATCACATCCCACTCTGTACAGGTTGTCATTTTTTTGTCATTTTTATCTATCTATCTATCTATCTATCTATCTATCTATCTATCTATATTTTTATTTTTTAAGTAAACTTGATGCCCAGCAAGGGGCACAAACTCACAACCCCAAGATCAAGAATCACATGCTCTACTGACTGAGCCAGCCATGTGCCTCTATAGTCATTTTTTCTTAATTATGGAGCTTTTATTAACTTTTCCAATCTGATTCAAATCACGGGAAGATATTTTGATAAGTGTATATAGGGGCATATATGTTTCTTTTTGCTTCAGGATCCAATATGGCTTAGAATAGTACTAGATGGATACTAAAATTTTTTGAGTGACTCAAAAATCAAAACAAAATACAGTAGAGGGTGGCACTCTACCCCTGCTCCATTCACTTCACTCCCTCCAATGCCTACATATAATTTTCTTGTGTACTCTCCCAGTTTTCTGTTGTTTGTAAAAGTAGCCATACGAAAGTACCAACCTTTGCCTTTGTTGATTTTCTTTATTGTGTATCTGCTTTGTATTTTAAAATTTCTCTTTATCATATATTTTCTTTTACTTTGTGTTTAAATTTGCTTCCACTTTTAGTCTTTCAATGGAAACTGAGATGATGGACTTTCAACCTTTTTTTTTTTTTTTTAAAGTTTATTATTTGAGAGAGGGAGAGCACAAGAGGGCAAGGGTTAGAGAGAAGGGGAGACAGAATCCCAAGCAGGCTCTGTGCAATCAATGCAGAATGCGATGCGGGGCTGGAACTCACAAACAGTGAGATTATGACCTGAGCTGAGATCAAGAGTCAGAGGCTCAACTGACTGAGCCACCCAGATGCCCCTCAACCTTTTTTTTTTGGGGGGGGGTAACATTTATTTTTGAAAGACAGAGAGAGACAGAGCACAGGGTGGGGAGGGGAAGAGAGAGAAGGAGACACAGAATCCAAAGCAGGCTCCAGGCTCCGAGCTGTCAGCACAGAGCCCGATGTAGGGCTCGAACCCACAAACCGTGAGATCATGACCTGAGCCCAAGTTGGATGCTTAACCCACTGAGCCACCCAGGCACCCCTCCTATTTTTTTTGTTGTTGTTGCTGATTTTTTTAAATTTATTTTTGAGACAGAGACAGAGCATGAGCAGGGGAGGGGCAGAGAGAGAGGGAGACACAGAATCCGAAGCAGGCTCCAGGCTCCGAGCTGTCAGCACAGAACCCGACACGGGGCTCGAACTCACAGACCGTGAGATCATGACCTGAGGTGAAGTCGAATACTTAACTGACTGAGCCACCCAGGCGCCCCACCCCTCCTCTTATTTTTATTGATCTCTACTTTCATCAAATGTAGTAGAGAATATCCTAAGTCCTTTAAAATTACTGAGCCTTGCTCTAAGCCCCAGTGTACAATCTAACTTGAACATTTCATGTGCACTTGAAGGGAATGTGCACTCTGAAGTTGCTGCGTGTTCCTTGTGTGTTCTATAAAGTATATATGCCACTCAATTCAAGATGGTAGACAATATAGACATATTGTTCAGCTCTTCTAAATATTTAATATTTGTTGTCTAGATATTCTATCAACTGCTGAGAATGGAGTGTTATAATTTCCAATTATAAAATTGTGGATTGTTCTTTTTTAAAATTTAGTTCTGTCAGTTTTTACCTTGTGATTTTGGAAGCCCTGATATTAGGCACATAATATATTAGTAAACTTAAAATGATCTTATTTATAATATTAACACATCACATCTGTAACATAGTTACACATTATAAGATTTACCAACCTTGATGAATTGACCATTTTATCATTATAAAATGTCCTCTGTTTATGATGATACCTTCTTGAATTCTATTATATCTGATATTAACATATCCAGCTTTCTTATGATTAGTGTTTTCATTGTGTATCTTTATCTCTTGAATGTTCACCTGTGTTTCTGTATTTAAAGTGTTCCTCTTTTAGATATAGTTGGGTCATTCTTTATTCAGTCTGACAACCTGTCAGTTTTATTTGGAGTGTTTCTTTTAGGTTTAATGCAATTGCTGATATGGTTGAACTTAGGTCTCCCAGTTTGCTGCCTGTTTACAATTTGTTCTATCTGTGTCTCTCTTCCTCCTTTCCTGCCTTCTTCTGGGTTAAACATTTTAAGTTTTATTTATTTAGGTAATCTCTACACCCAATGTAGGACTCAAACTCACAACCCCAAGAGTCGCATGCTCCTTGACTAAGCCAGCAGGCACCCCTAGGGTTAAACATTTTTTAATATGTGATTTAATTCCTCTACTTGCATTATTATTTAATGGGTATTCTTTAGGGATTACAGTATCATCTGTAATTTCTCGTAATCTCTTTAGCATTACTACTGTTTGTCATACTAAATGTAGAAACACTTTTTATTTACCTTTCCTTCCACCTACATCCCTTGAAGTTCAGTATTAATTCGTGCACACAACTAAATTTTATTATAATTTCAGGAAATTCTAAGATACAAACTATACAGTTGGAGTCAAAAGTTTAACCCTTTGAAGTTCCCTTCCAGTCACCCTGTCTCCACTCCTGATTTTGGTCTTTAGGGTCTCCTTTTGTTTCTTATGGTTAATATTTGCCACGACCAGGCCATGGGTAGCAAGCACAATATATGATCCTTGTGGGCAGAAGAGGTTGAGAAAGCTGTAAGCGGGCTTAAAAGAGCACATTTAGCAAGGGTAAGGGGCCAGAGCAGAAGTTAGGATCAGGCAGCTCAATTTACACAAAGTCAGAGAAAACAAAAAAGGACCAAACAAAAGGATCCAACGTCAGGTAAAAGAAAGGATGACATTATATAATTGGCAAGAGAAAAAAAAGGCAGAAACAAGGACACAGAGAGCTCCCGAGAATGAACGTGGGTTGTTATTATCCTTCCTTATTGACTTGATCCTTGTGCACTAAGAGCCTAAATCAGTGGTTCTTAATCTTGGTGGAACTACCTGAGGAGTTTTTAAATTCCTGATGCCCAGGCTACACCCCAGGCCAAATTTAATCAGAATCTCTAGGACTGGGACCCAGGTATTTTTCAGATGATTTCAGTGTACACCCAGGATTAATAAGCAATGGTTTAAATGTTTGCAAATGTTCAAGTGAACAAGTGGAGTGCAGGGACAGAGAAAAGGAAGATTTCCTAGGCTTAGATATTTTTCTTCCTCTTTATTTTCCTAGAGAAACATCCTGGTGATTTTCCTCTTTGGGATCCTGATCTTCCACACTTGGCTTCAGGTTGAAACTACTATTTAGAGAGCCATCAGCCTCAAGTACTGTTAAGTCTGCTGCTTGGGGTAGTTTTTCTACTGACATTAGATGCTTAGCTCCTGACTCTCTTTTCTCTGACTTAACCAGACTTTCTCCTTCTGTGCTCCCCTAGGAATTCTCCACTCTTCAGCTTCTTGGGTTCTGTTACTATACCTCTTGTCCTCTTCCCATACCTAATACCATTTCAAGGAAGAGAGCTATTTTTTGCATGATGCAGCCTCATACATTTTTGTAGTACCCTGTAATACTTAGAACACAGGTCTACATGATCAGTAGAGAATACATAATTCTTTTTCTTTTTTCAATGTTTACTTTTAAGAGAGAAAGACTTCCAGCAGGAAAGGGGCAGAGAGAGAGGGAGACACAGAATCTGAAGCAAGCTCTAGGCTCTGAGCTGATGTAGGGCTTAATCTCATGGAGTGCAAGATCATGACCTGAGCTGAAGTCGGATGCTTAACCGACTGAGCCACCCAGGTGCCCCTCTTTTTTTTTTTAAGTAAACTCTGCCCAACATGGGACTCAAACTCATGATCCCAATATCAAAAATTGCATTGAGCCAGCCTTATTGAGCCAGCTGGGTGCCCCAAGAATACATAACTATTTCATGAATTTACTGCATTCTATTCATCATGAATTTCTTTATGTTGATAAAAGGCTGAACGCACACTGAAGGTTTTCTCACATTTCTTACATCTGTAGTGTTTTTCTCCTGTATGGGTTTTCTGATGTTGAATAAGAGATGAACTCTGACTGAAGGCTTTGTCACAACCACTGCATTTATATGGTTTCTCTCCAGTATGAGTTCTCAGATGCTTTGTAAGAGATGAGCTCTGGCTGAAGGCTTTCTCACATTCTTTACATTTGTAAGGTTTCTCCCCAGTATGAATTCTTTGGTGTCTTATGAGAGCTGAGCGATCACTGAAGGCTTTCCCACATTCGTTACATTTGTAAGGTTTCTCCCCAGTATGGGTTCCTTGATGTTGAATAAGAGCTGAACAGTAGCTGAAAGCTTTCCCACATTCACTGCATTCATATGGCTTTTCCCCTGTATGAGTTCTCTGATGTTGAGTGAGGCCCGACCTGTCACTAAAGGCTTTCCCACATTCTTTACATCCATAAGGTTTTTCTCCAGTATGAACTCTTTGATGTTTAATTAGGGATGAGGTATCATTGAAAGCTTTCCCACATTCCTTGCATTTATAGGGTTTCTCTCCAGTATGGATTCTGTGGTGTTGAATAAGGTATGTGCTTTGGTTGAAGGCTTTCCCACATTCATTGCACTCATAGGGCTTTTCTCCAGTGTGAATGATATGATGCTGAATGAGGGCTGACCGATGACTGAAGGCTTTCCCACATTTGTTACACTCGTAAGGTTTTTCTCCCGTGTGAATTCTCTGATGCTGAATAAGTGATGAGCTCCGAGTGAAGGCCTTTCCACACTCAGCACATGCATAAGGCTTCTCTCCAGTATGAATTCTCTGATGTAGGATAAAGGCTGAGTAGTAACTGAAGAACTTCCCACATTCATTGCACTTCCAAGGCTTTTTCACTGAGTAAATATTTTGATGTTTGATTGGGTTTGAACTTTCCCCAATTTCATTACAATCCTCCACAGTGGTTTTGTTGTGTTTAATTATGGCTTGCCTTAAATCTTTCTTCCGGTTTCCTTGCTGCCTTTCTAATGTGCCTTCACATTGCCAGGCTTCTATCAATCTGGAGTCCCAGGCCTCAACCTTTTTAAGTCTTTCTATTATCAGCTCTCTTTCGGAGGACACTTCTTCATAAAGTTCTTGCTTTGAAAAAGATTCTTTAGTTTCAGGTATAGATTCGGAATCTGAAATAAATAAAAAGTACACGTATTTTTGTTTTCTCTGTGATGAGAGAAAGAAAACTGCTGAGTTAGCAAGAGGAAAATAAAACAAAAATGATGCTTTTTAAAAAGTGTTTATGGGGCGCCTGGGTGGCGCAGTCGGTTAAGCGTCCGACTTCAGCCAGGTCACGATCTCGCGGTCCGTGAGTTCGAGCCCCGCGTCGGGCTCTGGGCTGATGGCTCAGAGCCTGGAGCCTGTTTCCGATTCTGTGTCTCCCTCTCTCTCTGCCCCTCCCCCGTTCATGCTCTGTCTCTCTCTGTCCCAAAAATAAATAAAAAACGTTGAAAAAAAATTAAAAAAAAATAAATAAAAAGTGTTTATTTATTTTTAGAGAAAGAGAGATCCAGAGAGAGGGGCAGAGAGGGAGAAACAGCTCCTTGCTGTCAGCGCAGAGCCCAGCGTGAGGCTTGATCCCACAACCATGAGATCATGACCCGAGCTGAAACCAAGTCAGATGCTCAACCACCTGAGCCACCTAGGCAACCCCAAAAATGATGCTTATTAAACATGTTTATTAGAATGTTTTCAGAAAGCACTTCCTGGCAGTGGCAGAAGAAGTGTCAGAAAAAAACAGAGATGGGAGAATGAGTAATGTAAGGCACAATAAAAGGACAATGAGGATGCTGTACTTAAGAGAGTGGAAAACTGAGCAGACTAACCAGAAAGGAGGATATAAGCAGGTGGGATGAGAATAAATGTTAATATAAAACATCTAGAGAAGGGTGGAAAGATGAAAACACAGGTTGAGATTAGACAGTTTTGAAAAAGTACAAGACAAAAAAAATCATTTATAATAATCACCCAGAAACAACACTTTTGACTTTTTCAATAGTTCCCTCCAGTCCCCCAGAAATAAGTCAGAGAAAGACAAATATCATATGATTTCACTCATATGTGGAATTTAAGAAACACAACAGATGAACATAGGGGAAAAGAAGCAAAAATAAATAAAAACAGGGAAGCAAACCGTAAGAGACGCTTAAATACAGAGAATAAACTGAGGGTTGCTGGAGGGGAGGTGAGTGAGGAGATGGGCTAAATGGGTGATAGGCATTAAGGAGGGCACTTTTTGGGATGAGCACTGGGTATCATATGTAAGTGATGAGTCACTAAATTCTATTCCTGAAATCATTATTACACTATATGTTAACTAACTCGGATTAAAAAAGAAAGAAAGAAATGCTCTTATAGGCAGAAGGTGATTGATACAAGTCAAAAACTTGTATCAATGGGCCAAACTGACCCACCACAGACCAAATCTGGCCACTATCACTTGTTTACATATTGTTTATGGCTGCCTTCATGCTACAATGGCAAAGTTAACTAATTGCCAAAGAGTATATGGCCCACAAAGCAGAGAATGTTTACCATCTGGTCCTTTATAGAGAAAGTTTGCCAACCCCTGATCAATATAAAAAATGAATAGTGCTGGCAATGGCATAAATGAAAATAGATATAAAATTAATTTTTTTCTTACTAAAAAAATTTTTTATGTTTATTTGAGAGAGACAGAGCATGAGCAGGGGAGGGGCAGAGAGAGAGAGAAACATAGAATCTGAAGCAGGCTATAGGCTCTTAGCTTTTAGCCCAGAGCCCGACACTGGGCTCAAACCCATGAACTTTGAGATCATGACCTCAGCTGAAGTCAGAAGCTTAACCAACTGAGCCACCCAGGGTCCACCCCCCCTTTTTTTCTTATTTTTAATTACTCTAAGAGATAATTGATGGTCAAACAAAAATAGTAGCAATATATTGTGACTTTATAGCGTATGTAAAGGTAAAATGCATGAGAACAATTATACAAAAGATGGGAGAGAGGAATTAGAAGTCTCCAGAAGTAAGGTTCTTATACCAGACATGATGTGGTATAATATTCTTTTTCTTTCTAATAAATGTTTACTTATTTTTGGCAGGGGAGGTGCAGAAAGAGAGGGAGACAGAGGGTCTGAAGCAGGCTCTGTGCTGACAGTAGAGAGTCCAATGTGGGGCTCAAACTCAGGAACTGTGAGATCATGACCTGAATTGAAGTGGGACGCTTAACCGACTGAGCCCCCCAGGTGCCCCTGGTATATTACTCTTTAAAAATATACTGTGATTGGGTGCCTCGGTGGCTCAGTCAGTTGGGCTGCCGACTACAGCTCAGGTCATGATCTTGTGGTCTATGAGTTCGAGCCCTGTATCAGGCTCTATGCTGACAGCTCAGAGCCTGGAGCCTGCTTCCGATTCTGTCTGCCCCTTCCCTGCTTGCTCTCTGTCTCTCTGTCTCTCTCTCTCAAAAATAATAAACATTTTAAAAATTAAAAAAAATAAGAAAAATTAAAAAATAATAAAAATATACTGTGACTGGGGTACCTGCATGTCTCAGTTGGGAAAGCGTCCAACTCTTGGTTTTGGCTCAGGTCACGATCTCATGGTTTGTGAATTCGAGCCCTGCATTGGGCTCTGCGCTGACAGCACAGAGCCTGCCTGGGATTCTCTCTCTTTCTCTCTCTCTGCCCCTCCTCTGCTCTCTCTCTCTCTCTCAAAATAAATAAATTTTATTTATTTTTTTTTTTCAACGTTTATTTATTTTTAGGACAGAGAGAGACAGAGCATGAACGGGGGAGGGGCAGAGAGAGAGGGAGACACAGAATCGGAAACAGCCTCCAGGCTCCGAGCCATCAGCCCAGAGCCTGACGCGGGGCTCGAACTCACAGACCGCGAGATCGTGACCTGGCTGAAGTCGGACGCTTAACCGACTGCGCCACCCAGGCGCCCCTCAAAATAAATAAATTTTAAAAATAGATAACTGTGATTAATTAAAGAAGCATTTGGGAACTCTAGGACAACCATTAAAAGAACTTTAAATAAGGTTTAATGGTAAGCTAATTGTGGATATAAAATAGAGTAAAAAAAATATACAACCAAAAAAGTGAAAAAGAAAGAAAAATGAATAAGGAATAGATGGAACAAATAGAAGACAAGTAGCTATATGTAAGATTTAAATCCAACTATTTGGGGTGCCTGGGTGGTTCAGTTGGTTAAGCGTCTGACTTCGGCTCAGGTCATAATCTTGCAGTTCGTGGTGCAGCCACTCTGGAAAAGTTTGGAGGTTCCTCAAAAAATTAAAAATAGAACACCCTATAATCCAGCAATTACACTATTAGGTATTTATCCAAAGGATACAAAAATGCTGACTTGAAGGAGCACATGCGCCCCAATGTTTATAGCGACACTATTGACAATAGCAAAATTATGGGAAGAGCCCAAATGTCCATCAAATGACGAATGGATAAAGAAGATGTGGTATATATATATACAATGGAATATTACTTGGCAATCAAAAAGAATGAAATCTTGCCATTTGCAACAACACGGATGGAAATAGAGTGTATTATGCTAGGTAGAATAAGTCAGAGAAAGACAAATATATGATTTCACTCATATGTGGAATTCAAGAAACAAAACAGATGAACACAGGGAAAAGGAAGTGAAAATTAAGATAAAAAACAGAAAGGGAGACAAAACATAAGAGACACTAAATTCTATTCCTTAAAAAAAAAAAAAAGATAAAATGAATGATTGCAAAAAAAAATTGACCACATATGTGCAGGTCTATTTCTGGACTATCTATTCTGTTCTATCGATTTACATCTATACCAGTACCACACTGTTTTGGTCACTATAATTTTATAAATCTTAAAACCAATGTAATAAAGCTATCCTTTTTCAATACCAGAAATAGTAAACTTTTACTTGCCAAAAGAGAAAAAAAGCCCAATTGTGAGCCCAGAGTGATCAGGGATCTCCTAGGAGATCAGGGCTTTCTGGATTTTAAGCAAAACTATGGCATTTTAGATGCCATGAGTTATAGAGGAAGTTTATGTCCCAGTAAGCAGTTTGCATTACAAAATAATTTCCTTACCCCAAAATACCAGGCTCCCACAATTCTCCACTTTCATATCAATGCCCATGTACCTTTGGGCAGAATTCAGCTCTTCTTCCTCCACATGACTGAAGTCCATTTCCTCATCCTTGACTGTCACCAATTCCTGGAAGAACAAGCATATTCTTTAATTTTTTTTATGTTTATTTATTTTTGATAGAGACAGAGCACAAGTGGGGAGGGCAGAGAGAGAAGGAGACACAGAATCGGAAGCAGGCTCCAGGCTCTGAGCTGTCAGCACAGAGCCCGATGCAGGGCTTGAACCCATGGACCGTGAGATCATGACCTGAGCCGAAGTCAGACACTCAACTGACTGAGTCACCCAGGCGCCCCAAGAACAAGCATATTCTTATAGAACTTGGGGAGGAGAACAATCTATAAGAGACAGTATTTTTTAATATGACGGTTAAACCTTTATTTTAATGGAACAGTCTAAGATTTCTATGTATTAGTCTGTATTAGGGAAAATAGTAACAGCTAATACTTATATTTTCTATGTGCTGAGCCCTTTGAACTACCTCTTGTAATGATAACTTCATGAGATAAGTACTATTATTAACAGCATTTACAGATGTGAGGATCAGATATGACATCTGGACCCAGACATCTGTCTGGCTCCAAAGCTATACTCTTTTGGTTCTTCTTTTTTTTTTTTTAATGGAACAATGTATTTTATTTCATTTCATTTCATTTCATTTTATTTTATTTTACTTTACTTTAGAGAGAAGAGCATGAGTAGGAGAGAGGGGCAGAGGGAAAGAATCTTAGGCAGGATCCATGCTCAGAGCAGAGCCTGATGTGGGGCTCAATCCCCCGACCCTGGGATCATGACCTGAGCTGAAATCAAGAGTCAGACGCTCAATCAACTGAGCCACCCAGGCACCCCATATACTCTTTCTTTAAATTCAAGTATAGTTGACATAAAGTATATGAGTTTCAGGTGTACAACATAGTGATTTGATAGCAAAGCTATCCTCTTTCCTATATTTTTCTGTCTCTCACATATTTTACTAAATAAATCTAATATAAATTAACCACTGGGGGGGCGTCTGGGTGGCCCAGTCAGTTGAGCGTCGGACTTTAGCTCAGGTCATGATCTCGCGGTCCATGGGTTTGAGTCCCTGCGTTGGGCTTTTTGCTGACAGCTCAGAGCCTGGAGCCTGCTTCGGATTCTGTGTCTCCCTCTCTCTCTGCCCCTCCCCTGCTCATGTTCTGTCTCTCTCTCTGTCAAAAAACAAAAAACACACACAAAAAAATTTAACCACTGAATGACAACCAAATGTCAATTACTAATTGCACTTAGTTGTTGTAGATGGGGTAAGTCTCAGATATGTAATTTATACTGATTCCTGAAATATTCTGAGATTTTATAGAGCTTCTGCTTGATATCCTGAATGTATACAGATAGTCATGCTGTTCTTCCTTCTCCGTACTGAGGGTCATGACTTTTAGATTTATCTAGTTATCTTTTAGTAATTGCAGTTGTTCTGAATGAGTGGATTTACTGATTTTATGTTTTTTAAGCTTATTTACTGATTTTGAGAGAAAGACCATATGCACATGAATGGGGAAGGGGCAGAGAGAGGGGGAGAGAGAGAATCCTAAGTAAGCTTCACTCTGTCAGCACAGAGCCCAGCAAAGGGCTCAGTCTCAGGAACTGTGAGATCATGACCTGAGCCAAAATCAAGAGTCGGATACTTAACCAACTGGGCCACCCAGGCACCTGAAATTTACTTTTTATGTATGTATGTATGTATGTATGTATGTATGTATGTATGTATTTTGGATTTACTGATTTAAAAATAATTTTTTTATGTTTTTTATTTATTTTTGAGAGACAGACCATGAGTGGGGGAGGGGCAGAGAGACAGGGATACACAAAATCCCAATCAGGCTCCAGGCTCTGAGCTGTCAGCACGGAGCCCAACATAGGGCTCGAATTCACAAACCATGAGATCATGATCTGAGCTGAAGTTGGACGCTTAACCTACTGAGCCACCCAGAGGCCCCTAAAAAAAATTTTTTTTAACATTTATTTATTTTTGAGACAGAGTGTGAGCAGGGGAGGGGCAGAGAGAGGGAGACACAGAATCCAAAGGAAGCTCCAAGCTCTGAGCGGTCAGCACAGAACCTGACGTGGGGTTCGAACCCACAAAGCATGAGATCGTGACCTGAGCCAAAATCGGCCACCCAACCAACTGAGCCACCCAGGCACCCCCACAAGATTTTATGTTTAAGTAATTTCTACACTCAACGTGGGTCTCAAACTTACATCCCTGAGATTAAGAATCGCATGCTCCACTGACTGAGCCAGCCAGGAGCTGCTGTGAGCCTCAGTTTTACTGTGAAATAAGCATCACTCCTAACTCACATGATTTCTTGTTTATAACAGATTTTTTTTTTCAACGTTTTTATTTATTTTTGGGACAGAGAGAGACAGAGCATGAACGGGGGAGGGGCAGAGAGAGAGGGAGACACAGAATCGGAAACAGGCTCCAGGCTCTGAGCCATCAGCCCAGAGCCTGACGCGGGGCTCGAACTCACGGACCGCGAGATCGTGACCTGGCTGAAGCCGGACGCTTAACCGACTGCGCCACCCAGGCGCCCCATGATTTCTTGTTTAAAATAAATGAAGCTATGTTTGAAAAGTGGCTCTAAATGTTAGAGTTCCCCAGAGCTCAGTTGTTAGACATCTTCTCTTCTCCATCCATTCTTACATGCCTATAAGCAACCTGTTATTTCTCCCATCTTAAAAAAATAAAAAATAAAAACCCTCTTTGGTCTTGCTACTGCTTCCCACTATCACCCTATTTCTGTCCTCTGCTTTAGCGTAAAACTCTCCAAAATGGCTGTCAGTCATCCCTGCTTCCAACTTCTCTCCTATTCTCTTCTGAACCCTTTCTGATCAGGCTTTCATTCCTACAACTCCATGACATTGTTCTTGGCAGTGACCAGTGATCTTCATATTTTTAAATCCAATGGTCAATTTTCAGGCCTCATCTTACTTGACTTAGCAGCAGTATTTAACAGCTGATCACTCCCTGCTCCTTTTAAACACTTTCTCCAATTGTTTACCAGGATGCCAAACTTTTGACTTCCTACCTCACTGGCCACACTGGCCACATCTTCTGAGTATCCTTTGCTGGTTCCTCTTCATCTCCCTGATCTCACAGTGTTGGAGAGCTCAGTCATAAAATCTCATCTCTTTTCTATTCCCTTAGTTTTGTGATTTAAAATACTGTTCACACAGACTACTACCAAAATCAGTGCTCAAGCCTGAGCTCTCCCCAGACTTTCAAGTCTTCAAGGAAAAATTACTTTGGCTCAGTTCTCTAGTTGGGATTGCCGTGGACCTCCAAAGCAAGATGAAAAAAGCAAATGACACACTGTGAACTCCAAGCTAAGACTTCATATGAGGAAATCAAAGACTTGCCTGGAACTCAACAGGAAGGAGCTCAACAGTGGGTTCCATTTCTTCCGTGTTCTGTTTTTGGGGCAGAGAAGCATCCTCGGTAGTAATAGCTGGAAGGACTAGAGGGAGAAGAAAAAGCTATGAAGGAGGTAAGCTCTATTTCCCCACTTCCAAATTCATTAGGACAAAAGTTATCACAAGCCAGGTAAATTGTATACACAGGGCCCACTTGACTTCACTCCAAAAGGTGGGATGAGGGTACAATAAGACGATAAAGTGAAAGTCTGTTGCCCAAAAAGCTAAGCTTATAGACCCACAATACATCAACCTTTTATAATAGCCTAACAGGGGGTTGAAAATGGAATATTCTCTCTTCCATGGCTGCAGAGGGAATGTGGATGGGCACAGGAGTGCTGAAAGAGGACTGGAGAATGGGACTGGAGAATGTGTCACAAGGAGCCTGCTTAGTGATTTCCAAAATTGGTCGCTTACTGAGTTTCTCTACTTGGGGACATGTCTGCTTCCATTTCCTTTCATGCAGGGGCATCTAACCTTTTAATTCTCATCAAAGGTGTTTTTCCACTTGTCCCCACGTTCAACTTCATGTTTATTTCTGTAATTCTTACCTTCTTCCTCAGCTTCAATGGTCAGATAATCCATGATTAGATTCTCTTTTTTTGTCCTGTTATTGCTATGATTTCTCCTTTATTCGCTGTTTCAGATGAGATAAACATGGACTTTCCAACAATACATAATCTGCTTCTTTGTGAAAATCATTCAACTCTACTCTGAAGTTCTGGAGAGAGATTTTGAAGTTAGGCTTGCCATCCTGTGGAGTTGGTTCCTGCTCCCTGGGGCATCTTCCTCTCTATCTCTATTCCTAGGAGGCTTATTCCTATGTGTTTAAGTCTTAGGGCCTCAGAAGTAATTCTTCTTTGCTTGTAACCTTTATTATTTAGGCTAAATTAGTCTCCACAGCTAGAAGAGCATTCTCTAGAGTACTGATATCAGTCACTATATGCCAAACCAGGGCAAATCCAGGAGAGAATCAGTGAGTGAACTGTGAGCCTCACACCTGGCTCCAGACTGGGCAGAAACACCCAGGAGACCCTAAAGCACACAACTGGCTATAAAACAGCCTGTGATTATAGCATCAGGTAACTATAAAAGCAGGACTCCCACAGTTCATTCATCCTTACTATTCATAGAGACAGGCAGTTGATAGATGGGGCCTGTATACAGCTGATTCCTAACCTTTTTAAAAGACCCTGAAAATGTACAGGCCAGGATTCCCTTGCATGGTCAGAGCGAGAACAAAAGACTTCAGTAATAACTGACAGTAATAACTGACAGACAGTAACTGGCAGACAACATGGGTTCCCTCATGTCAAGGAAGAAAAACTAAACTTTAAACCAGGCTGAATGACCAGGAAGAACAAAACGAGTCGGTACAGCCTAAGGGGACAAGCTGACACAAAATTCAACAGAATTTGCAAAAAAGACACCTGCAGCACATCCTGTTGAATGGCTGCCACATCTTGATACTCCCACCAGAAATAATTTATTAACTGTATCCTGCTTGCACTTGAAATGCGTGGTTTGGGACTTGAGCCTGACCAATCTTTGTAAAGGGCACGGAACTTGCGGTTTGTGCCTGTTTAACCGCAGGCTGAATCCTTCCCCTTGGAAGCGTACTCTTGGCTTGTAGCCAAAGGCTGCGTCCTTCGGGGAATGAGTAAGACACAGACCCCACTTTTTTTCTTTCTGTCCCAGGAGTTCAGGTTAAGGCTCTTAGTGCAGTGGCAAGATTTAATGCCCAAAACGGCGGGAGCAGTCGCGCTCCCACAGTACCCCGCTCGGTCACGCCCCCTCCACGCTCCCGGACTCCACTTCCCAGAGGGCTTAGGGGCAACCGCGCTTCCCGGACGCCTCCTGGCTCAGAACTAAAGCCTCAGACCCGGCTTGCCTCCCAGCCGGAGAGAAGCGGGAGGGTTACGCACAGCACCGGGGAGCGGGCATAGGAGGAGGGCAGGGCCGGCCCTTTATGTGCCGGCCGGAACCTGAGGGCCTGGCCCGGGCTGCTGCGGGAGGCACTGCAGCCGCGCGCACGGACCGGCGGGTCGCCGACGCACGCGCCTCATGGTCCAGCTTTCTCTTACCCCTGGACGCGCTGCCCACTCGGCTCCGGCCACAGGGCGGGTCCCCGCCGGTCTGCGCTCTGGGAAAGACGGAGGGGAGGACGGAGTCGCTTTCCGGACACACGGAGCTGTGGGGGAACAAAAGGCTCGAGCCTGAGGCTCCGTCTGGAGTCGCATCTGCGCACTTGGAGGCGACCGCGCCAGGTCGGGGGTCCCGGCGGAAGGACTCCACTTCCCAGAGGGCTCGGGGACATCGGTGCCTCCCCTCGCGGGGGGGGGGGGGGGGGGGCCTCTGGAGAGCGAGGGGAGAGAACTGCAGGCCTTCAGTGTCAACCTTAAAATGCAGATATTTCCCCATCTGATAGATCTCCTTTCTGAATACAGTGAGAATCTGTCGTTTAAAAGCTCCAAGTATTTTCAGCGTTGGATTATTATTTGGTGGTGGTGTGGGGATACACCTGTTACACAGTCTTTTTCCCTAGTATTTCTCGTTCTTACAATAAAGCCCCGAGTCTGCAAACTCACTGCTAGTGATTTCGTTGAAAGCATTCTGATAAGTAAAAACCACAGGCAGGGGTGAGAAGCCATTGTCCTGGTTGATATAAAATAAACATGAATAGGAAGGAATTCACAAGGAAAAGTTAGATGTGAGAAAAAGGCAAGTAGGGAGGTTGGGCTTTGAAGTGGGGATTGTGCCGACCTGGAGTTTATGAACATTAGTACTGGATGGAAGTCAAAGAGCAACCAGAGGAAAGATACTTCTTTTTCTCTGTTTATAAAGGCTCGAGGCTGTAGTTCCAGTTCTTCACCAGGAGAAACCAGTTGTATCACGTGTCCTTGCGGTCCAAATTACCAGCCACCTGAATAGTTCCTCCACATCTAATCGTGCCTTTCCCAATCCATGCTATTCATGACAGCCAAAATGAACGTTTAAAAATTAAATCTGGGGAGGGGCGCCTGGGTGGCTCAGTCGGTTAAGCATCTGACTTCGGCGCAGGTCATGATCTGGCGGTTTGTGAGTTCAAGCCCGGTGTCAGGCTGTGTGCTGACAGCTCGGAGCCTGGAGCCTGCTTGGGATTCTGTGTCTCCCTCTCTCTTTCTGCCCCTCCCCTGCTCGTGCTCTGTCTCTCTGTGTCTCAAAAATAAATAAAAAAAAAAAAAATTAAATCTGGGGGGCGCCTGGGTGGCTCAGTTGGTTAAAGGTCTGACTCGGTTTCAGCTCAGGTCATGATCTTGCAGTTCGTGGGTTCCAGTCCGCATCAGGCTCCGCGCTGATCATGTAGGGCCTGTTTGGGATTCTCAGTCTCTCCTCTCTGCCTCTCCCCTGCTCTCTCTCTAAATTTAAGAAAAGAAGAGAAGAGAATTAAATCTGTTTATGTCGCTTTCCTCAGAACCCTTCAGTGACTTCCCTCTGCTCTGGCATAAGACAAACTCCTTAGCACAATTTATAAAACCCTACATAATCTGGCTGTGCCAATCCTGAATTACCTACTATCTTCCTTTCATTCTCGAAACTCCTCTATTACATAGGCTTTTTAGTAACTCACACATCCCAAATTCTTTGCTGTCCTTTACACATTCCCTTTATTTAGAATCTCTCTCTACCATCCTTCAGATTTCAGTTCAAAAGTCACTTCAGGCAAGCTTTCCCTGAACTCCTTCCCCTTAATTCAAATTGATTTTCTCACAGAACCTTGTTCATTCTCTTTGTAGACTTGCCACAATTTGTAATTATACATTTATTTTTTTCTGCTGCATTTTTTAATGTATACCTTCCTTACTTGACGGTAAGCTCCATGAAGACAGAGACCATGCATATTTTGTGCATCAGTGTCCCAGTGTCAAGCACAGATCCTTGTCAACAAAGTTGAGTGCTGAGAAGATGTCATTCCACGATTATGAATCCCAGCTTCAGCTAGGTCCTAGCATAATTTAGCAGTCCTTTGTTTATCCATAGCTATCTCCTTTTATAAGTGGTTGTCTCCCCTTCTGACTCCATTCTGAGCAGCCATTCCAAATACTGCTTTACTAAACTCTACTTCATGACCAACCCCTCTCTCTTAGTCAATGAGTTCACCACCATTTATTTCACAGAACAATGACAGGTTTTGAGGTAGGCATAAATCCAACTTTGGGTTAATTTTATGTTTCTACTTTAGGGGGTGACAAGATAGTTGGTGAAACATTTCTTGGTGCCTCGGTGAGGATGTGTCTGGAAGAGATTATAATGCATTTGAATTGGTAGGCAGAGTAAAGAAGATGTTCTCATAAATGCTAGTGGGCATCATCCAATCCATCAAGGGTCTGAATAGAATAAAAGGACAGAGGAAGGACATATTTGCTCTCTCTGCTGGACCTGAGACATCCATCTTCTGCCCTTGGACATTAGCACCCCTGGTTGTTGGGTCTTCTGACTTGGACTGGAATTTACACCATTAACTCCCCTGGTTCTAGGCGTGGACTAGAACCTATTACCAGCTTTCCTGGATCCCTAGCTTGCAGATGGGACTTCAGCCCCACAATTGCAGGAGCCAATCCCTAATCATAAATCACATTTTATCTATCGATATATTTCCTATGGGTCCTGTTTCACAGAAGAATTCTGACTAATAAAACTTCCCTGTACTCAATCCCAAAGTCATGGGGTATCTAAAATATTTGGGAATGGGGCGCCTGGGTGGCTCAGTCCATTGAGTGTCCAACTTCGGCTCAGGTCATGATCTCTCGGTCAGTGAGTTCGAGCCCTACGTCGGGCTCTGTGCTGACAGCTCAGAGCCTGGAGCCTTTTTTGGATTCTGTCTCCCTCTCTCTTTGTCCCTCCGCTGCTCACGCTCTGCTCTCTCTGTGTCTTAAAAATGAATAAACGGGGGCGCCTGGGTGGCGCAGTCGGTTAAGCGTCCGACTTCAGCCAGGTCACGATCTCGCGGTCCGTGAGTTCGAGCCCCGCGTCGGGCTCTGGGCTGATGGCTCAGAGCCTGGAGCCTGTTTCCGATTCTGTGTCTCCCTCGCTCTCTGCCTCTCCCCCGTTCATGCTCTGTCTCTCTCTGTCCCAAAAATAAATAAACGTTTGAAAAAAAAATTTAAAAAAAATAAACGTTTAAAATTTAAAAAAATATACATTTGGGAAGTGGAAGGAGGCACCGATTACATCAAGGGTGTCTTTCCTTAGGTGTATCTTAACCACGCCTAGAGTTATAACATTATTGTTCAAAATCTTTGCTGCCCCTCCTTGCAAGAGGATCATACTTTCCTGCCCAGTTGAATTCAGGCTTGGATCTGTGACTTGCAATAACCTTCCCTTGAGAGAGCGAGCCATCCTTTTCTGTTTAAGAGTCAGATTCTAGTCTGCCATTTCTTTTCCCTCTGCCATGAGACTTAGAATATCTCATATAAGACTGTTCCATCAGTCTGGGTTCTGGAGTGCAGACATGGACACCTAGCATGAGTAGGAAAGACACCCTGCTTGTTGTCCACTGAGAATTTTCAGGTTGTTTGATTCTATAGCATAACCTAGCTCATACCTTCAGAGATGCCTTCTGAGCACTTTTTGGGCAATACTTTTCAAATGAATGTATGCTTGTTTATCTTGTTTTATTTTTTAAGTTTATTTATTCTGAGAGAGAGAGCAGGGTAGGGGCAGAGACAGAGGGAGAGAGAGAATCCCAAGAAGGCTCTATGCTGTCAGCATGGAGCCCAAACTGGGGTTCAATACCACAAACTGTAAGCTCCTGACTTGAGACAAAGTCAAAAGACCAACCCATTCAACCGACTGAGCCACCCAGGCACACCTATCTTGTTTTGTTTTAAATAATGAAGGAAAATAATTTTCCCATCAACATGTTCCCCAACATAATCATAACAGGCAGCTTTAGGTCCTTTAAGCTTAAAATACAAAATACAAATAAAAGCTTAACTGCAAAATTTTAATAAAGATGATTAAATTAACAGGACATCTTTCTGCAGTGTGATGTGCAGATACTCATGATACTACCACTGTTCATAAAGCCTTACAAAGACAGTGAATACACTCTGACTGAAGGCACTTCTCAGCTTGAATCTAAAAACCACAGACAAGGAACACACAATATACACAGAAATGATCCAGGAGTGGTTGTCACAGTTTTTTCCTAAAAAGTAGATTTTACTGTTTCCCCTGAGTCTAATACATGCAGGTTTCTTTTACATTTTCATATCTCTGATATCCAGAAGTGCCTTACAATTGTTGGTCAGGTGTCACTGGTGAGTAGTCACCACATCATGGATATCAACAGCATGGAAGAAAATCCCAGAGACAACAGTGGAGCATACTTAAGAGTACTTAAGAGTTGCCATATTACCAATACGCTTGGTAAGAGTAGCCAAAAAAATACCATGGGAAAACATGGGCACAGACAACATTGAGTGGGAAAATGATTCAGAAAAACAGAATTCTGAAGGTGAAGAGTCTAGCAATGCCTTCATCATTTTACTCTCCTTTTTTATGTGAGTATAAGAAAAGAATGTATCATTAAAGGGGTGCCTGGGTGACTCAGTCGGTTAAGTGTCCCACTCTTGATTTTGGCTCACGATTGACAAGACGGAGCCCCTTGTTGGGCTCTGCACTGACAGCACAGAGCCTGCTTGTACCTACTGTACCCTGGGGACTGAGTTTGAGCTTAGTGTCTTCTCCCACATGACGTTTGAGTTGGTGATTTTTGTCAACAGTTCTCCCATTTACTCTTTTTGTTTGTTGTGTTCAAATTTTCCCCAGCTGACTGTTTTCTTCCCCCAACTGGGTCCCAACCAAGGCCATGATTTCTGTGACATTATTTACCATATCTCTTCTGCCTTCTTAGTAGGGTGCTATTAGTCTTTCAGAGACAAGGGTGTGATAATAGTTAAGTACTCAGTTGTTGGGGCACCTGAGTGACTCAGTTAAGCATCCAACTCTTGATTTTGGCTCAGTTCATGATCTCACGGTTCATGGGTTCAAGCCCAAGTCAGGCTCTCTGCTTAGGGATTCTCCCTCTCTCTGCTCCCTCCCCCACTCATGCTCTCTCTCTCTCTCTCTCTCTCTCTCTCTCAAAATAAATTTAAAAAACAAGTAAACATATTTTACTCTTTAAAAGAAAAAGGTAGCAATTGCCTTCTTTTTAAAACAGAACAAACCAACCACATAGTCTTTGTCAAAGGTGCAGTTCAAGAACGCTCTGTGTTAACGGCTGGAAGAGAGTCCCCATCCCCACCACGTGGTCGCCTCAGTGTTTGCCTCCCTCTTGGGTCGTTTCTGTCACGGGTACAAATCTTATCAGACATACAAAGAGAATGGTACTTCCCTGAAAGTCCAGTCTGTTTTGTTCTCTGGCCTGTCCCCAGCTCCTACAACAGTGCTTGAATATCCTGGAACATTTTGTGTGTGCATTATGCTATTATGATTATGCAAATGTTTGGGAAATGAATTAGGAAAACTGCTCTGAGTCACTGTAAAGAGGGGGAAACCTTCAGAAGCAAAGAAACTCACCCACAGCAGTGCCTAAGTTTCTCTTTACAGAAGGCAAGGGATGATGGGGGCGGGGTAAGGGGGAAGGTGTAGGTCAGGTCCAGGCATTTGAACTTAGGGAAAGGACGGATGGTCAAGGTTGACTGTTTCTAGGCATATGACTTGGGGAGTCAGTTCTGCAGGTCCCTTCCAGGAATGTGAACGTAGGGAGGAACAGGGATGACAGGTCGGGTCCCCGAGCCACTTCTGTGTCCTCTGAGTAGGACTTGGCTCCAGCTAAGAACCCAGAATGCTCCCAATCTGAGATCCCAGGAAGATGATTGACCTTCATGTGAATTTCCTTCCATTTGCTCCCGCCCGCTTTCCCTGGGTGGGTAGAATTTCACCTAGCGCCTGCCGCTTCTGAGGACGCTCCTGTGTCAAAAGAACTCTCCCCAGTTCACCTCACATTCCTTCTGAATAAAATTTGTTCTAGGGGATGCTAGAACCTGAAGTTCTTCAGAAGAGGCGGGCCCAGCAGCACTGTGGGAGATGGATAGCGGTACCTTCAAACCTCCAGGGAGGGGAGGCTGTTTCTGAACGGTGAAGGCAAGAATTCTCTGAGGCACCCTCCCCTCCTGTTTACCTCTACTTTACGGACCTTTTCATCTTGCTTTGTATATCTCCATAACGAAAGGACCAGAAGCCCAGAGAAGCCCAAGCTGTCTGGTGCATGGATAGCAAATATTAACCGCTGCAACTGAGAACTGAGGAAATTACCAGATGTTAAATGCACAAAGAGGATCTGGTGCCAGCACCACGGTAATGCATCTCACTGGCTCAGAAGGTTGTGTGTTCACATCACTTTAGCTTCAAAGGAAGTGCTATGCTGTCGATTCCAAGATTTCATCAGGCATTCACAATTTTAGAACCAGTACCTAGAGCGCTGCCTGGCTCATTCAGTAGAGTGAGACACTCTTGATCTCAGGGTCTTGAGTTCAAGACCCACGTTGGGTTTGGAGATTACCAAAGAAAGAAAGAGGGAAAAAAAAATCCCTAGAACATTTTTTTTTTTTTAAGCTCAGCAAAGGACAGACTTTTAAACTGAAAGGGGAAGTGAGGCTGGTGTAATGAAAGCTTAATCATGATACGTCCACCTCGATCTCTGTTTCTGCTGGGTTTCTCCTTGCTCTCAGGTCATGGCAACTGGTTTGTATCTGAAACCTGATAGTTTCAAATCTCAACTGGAAGGACGATTTTTAATGAATCCTGAATTAAAAGGTGGTAAATGCCAGGGCAATTTCCACTCTCAGAAAGTTCAAGAACAGCATCCTCAACATAATACATTTTGAACCAACCTCACAATATTTTCTCTTTAACCACAATGTTCAGAGACTTTCGACAGGAAGCTCAAACCATGAAAACTGTGTGTGTGTGTGTGTGTGTGTGTGTGTGAGCTTGTGGGGGGGGGGGGAGGGGGGGAAGAACTGGAAAACCGACGTCTTCTTCAAAATGACACAAAAGCAACCAGAGAGATTGTGCCATGCCCGGCTAGCGACCCAGCAAAACTACTTTTACACCAGAGTGAATTCATTAGGAAAGTCTGCCCTGTTTTAATGTCTTCTCTGAAGCATAGTCCCGATAAGGATAGGGACACAACGACCTATATGTCTGCTCCTGTGGGGGGTTTTCCCTTCCAGGTCATCCTCACCCTTCAGTTTAAGTGCCTGTCCATCGCTGAGTTGTTCCCAAGAAGTCCCTTTGGACTAAAGAAAAAGAGAAAGCCCAAGGTTGGGAGGGTAGCAGACAGACGCTTACGTATTGATTCAGGTGGCCAAACAGAAAAGCCACAGCTGTGACCCCGACGTGATTTGAACACGCAACCTTCTGATCTGGAGTCAGACGCGCTACCGTTGCGCCACGAGGTCGTGAAAGCTGCCCGGGTTTTTGTCCTTTAGGACAACATGCATTTCAGCAGTTGTCAGGTGCAGCGTCCGGTATTTTTTTTTTTTTTTTTTTACACTGCTTTTATTTTGACTTGGGACTGGCTATGAGCTCTCTGTCCCTTTTATAACGGGGCTATTCAAAGCAAAATGTAAATGTAAATGTAGCAAAGGAGGAGCTGAGGGCTGGGAGGATACTCGTAATTCGGGAAAGCCACCTCCCCAGGGCTTTTAGGGAGCGTTGCCTGTGGAAATGCCAATCGCAGCTCCCAGGGAAGGGAAGAGCGGAGCCAGGGGCGCGGGTCTCTTCTCTCCAAGTCCTTCAGCAGGCGGAGCAACAGGAGGATTTGCGCTCCGGTCACACCTAAGCAGCGAGACTACTTCCGTTTCTCAAAGAGGGCACTTAGAAGTTTCTTTTTCTCTTTTGCTAAAAAGAAAAAAAAAAATATAGAACAAAGGCCCACATATTCATTGTAGAAGGCTTATTAGATACGGGGGCGGGGGGAACACTACAATAAGTAGGTTGAGCACTGCTGACACAAAAGACCCAGGGGTCGAGGAGGGGAGAGTGATGCTTTGCGGTTGGGATGTGGGGCGTGACCACGGGTAATACGTTTCCGTAGCAGCGCAGCGTTCATTGATTGCGCTGAGTGAATGGAGAGGAGCCGGCATCAGGGAGATTGTGGACGCAGGAGGCATGTGACAGCCGGGTGTCTCCGACGTGGGCATCATAAAGGCTCTCTGAGTGAAATACCAAGACTGATCTCGTCATATCCTTGCCGGTGTAACTGGAAACCTTCCACTTCTGCGTTTTAGGACGCCCAGACCAGAATGATGATTTTGAGCTGGGAACAAACAGTAGTTTAGGTACTTCCTCATTCGTGGGTCACAGACAACCTGTCAGACTAGCTTTGTTGGGGACATTTTATTTTTTTAATTTATTTTTATTTTTTTACATCCCAGTTAGTTAGCATATAGTGCAACGATGATTTTAGGAGTAGATTCCTTAATGCCCCTTACCCATTTAGCCCATCCTCTCTCCCACAACCCCTCCAGTAACCCTCTATTTGTTCTCCATATTTAAGAATCTTTTATGCTTTGTCCCCCTCCTGTTTTTATATTATTTTTTCTTCCTTTCCCTTAGGTTCATCTGTTCTGTGTCTCAAAGTCCTCATATGAATGAAGTCATATGATTTTGTCTTTCTCTGGCTAATTTTGCTTAGCATAATACCCTCTAGTTCCATCCATGTAGTTGCAAATGGCAAGATTTCATTCTTTTTGATTGCCGAGTAATACTATATATATATATATAATCACACCTTCTTTATCCAGTCATCCATCAATGGACATTTGGGCTCTTTCCATACTTTGGCTATTGTTGATAGTGCTGCTATAAACACTGGGGTGCATGTGCCCCTTGGAAACAGCATACCTGTATCCCTTGGATAAATACCTAGTAGTGCAATTGCTGGGTAGTTCTAGATTTTTAATTTTTTGAGGAACCTCCATACTGTTCTCCAGAGTGACTGCACCAGTTTGCATTCCCACCAGCAGTGCAAAAGAGATCCTCTCTCCCCGCATCCTCACCAACATCTGTTGTTGCCTGAGTTGTTCATGTTAGCCATTCTGACAGGTGTGAGGTGGTATCTCATTGTGGTCTTGATTTGTATTTCCCCTGATGATGAGTGACATGGAACATTTTTTCATGTGTCGGTTGGCCATCTGGATGTCTTCTTTGGAGAAGTGTCTATTCATGTCTTTTGCCCATTTCTTCACTGGATTATTTGTTCTTTGGGTGTTGAGTTTGATAAGTTCTTTATAGATTTTGGATACTAACCCTTTATCTGATATGTCATTTGCAAATATCTTCTCCCATTCTGTCTGTTGCTTTTAGTTTTGCTGATGGTTTCCTTCACTGTGCAGAAGCTTTTTATATTGATGAGGTCCCAGTAGTTCATCTTTGCTTTTGTTTCCCTTGCCTCTGGTGACTTATTGAGTAAGAAGTTGCTGCGGCCAAGATCAAAGAAATTTTTGCCTGCTTTCTTCTCGAGGATTTTGATGGCTTCCTGTCTTACATTGAGGTCTTTCATCCATTTTGAGTTTATTTTTGTGTCTGGTGTAAGAAAGTGGTCCAGGTTCATTCTTCTGCATGTCGCTGTCCAGTTTTCCCAGCACCACTTGCTGAAGAGACTGTCTTTATTCCACTGGATATTCTTTCCTGCTTTGTCAAAGATTAGTTGGCCATATGTTTGTGGGTCCATTTCTGGTTCTCTATTCTGTTCCATTGATCTGAGTGTCTGTTTTTGTGCCAAGTTGGGGACATTTTAAACTGAAGACTTGAGGTCTCTGGTTCTAGGCTGCCTTTCTACATGGGCCTTACTTTTTACCACATACCCAGACCCCCTGGAGTAAATTTAGAAGGTCCTATGCCATTTATAAGAGAGTACACACAGTAAAGCTTCCATTGTACATGCTGCAGTGAATTTGCTGCAGCGACAGAAGAACCAGACTTCACTCTGCCAGCATTTCTCAGAGCTTGGACCGAGTCACTAAAATTTGCAACAAGAAGAAAAGTATCTTTTTGTTGTTTCAAAAATGGTTTAATTTTTCAAATACAGCAAATGATTTTAGTTTTAAATTGAAGATAGGGACTTATGAGATGTAAAGCATCTATAGATATATGTCCTTTCAATGAGAGTCCATTTTATTACTTTTTTAATGTTTATTTTTGAGAGAGAGAGTGTGAGTCGGGGAGGCACAGAGAGAGAGGGAGACACCAAATCTGAAGCAGGCTCCAGGCTCTGAGCTGCCAGCACAGAGCCCTACGTGGGGCTGGGGCAAACGAACCGTGAGATTGTGACCTGAGCAGAAGTCAAATGCTTAACTGAGCCACTCAGTTAAGGCACCCCTAATGAGAGTCCACTTTAAAGTAAAAGAACAGTCAGGGTGCCTGGGTGGCTCTGTCAGAGCGTGTGACTCTACTGGGCTTGTAAGTTCAAGCCCCACCTGGGATGTACAGATTACTTTAAAATAAAATCTTTAAAAATAATTTGAAGTAACAACAGTAAACTGAGTATGGCCAGGACAAGGACTTGATCATTTCTATGTCTGAAATGAGGAATTCTCCCACAGCTCCAAACTGGGTGTGTGGATTTCTATTCCCCCAAGGAGACCTCTAACACCAAATGCCCTCGCAGGATATCAAATAGATCTCAGTGAAAAGATAAATGAAAGAATTAAGATAATTGTAACATATAACATTTAAGGGGAATGCTTGCTATAAGCCTCCTGCCCCTTCTAAGTATATTGTTGATCTTCTTACATACTCTCTGTGGTAGACAGTGTTATTATGAGTCCTACTTCTCTGGAGAGGAAATGGAGAAACAGAAGATAAGCAAATTGCCCAAAATGATTCATCTAAGGAAGCGGCAAAAACAGTTCCAGCTTTTCCGTCATTGCCCAGTTAGAAGAGTCTAGGGTGAACAAGTTTCCCTCACAACTTGGATGGGTCATTTATCCTGGGTCACTCTTGGGAGTGAAAACTCCAAACCCCTCCATTACATCCATGGGGATTGTCTCTAAGAGGAGGCCTTGTTTTATTTTTATTTTTTTTTAAGTTTATTCATTTATTTTGCGAGAGTGTGTGTGAGTAGGAGAGGGGCAGAGAGGGAGAGAGAGAGAATCCCAAGAGGCTCCATGAGCTCTATCTCACCAATCTTGAGACCATGACCTCAGCTGAAAGCAAAAGTCAGAGGCTATACCGACTGAGCTACCCAGGTGCCCCAAGGAGTCCTTGTTTTAGAATGGAGTTATTTGGGACGCCTGGGTGGCTCAGTCTGTTGAGCAGCTGACTTCAGCTCTAGTCGTGATCTCATGGGTTCGAGCCCGGAGTCCAGCCTGGTGTTGAGCCCTGGGTTGGGCTTTGTGCTGACAGCTCAGAGCCTGTAGCCTGGTTCAGATTCTGTGTCTCCCTCTCTCTCTGCCCTCCCCTACTCACACTCTGTCTCTCTCTCTCTCAAAAATAAACAAACATTAAAAAAATAGAGTGGAGGTATTTGTTCAAGTAGTATGGAAGAACAGGTGGTTCACTCTTTTTTTTTTTTTCCTGCATATGTATTGATTTTTTTAAAGCTTTATTTTATTTTAAGTAGGCTCCACACCCAGCGTGGAGGCCAAGGCAGGGCTTGAACTCGGGAACCTGAGATCAAGATCTGAGCTGAGATCAAGAGTCAGAGGCTAGGGGCGCCTGGGTGGCTCAGTCGGTTAAGCATCTGACTTCAGCTCAGGTCGTGATCTCACGGTTCTCATGGGTTTGAGCCCCATATCAGGCTCTGTGCTGACAGATCAGAGCTGGAGCCTGCTCCAGATTCTGTGTCTCCCTCTCTCTCTGCCCCTCCCCTGCTCGTGCTCTGTCTCTGTCTCTCAGAAATAAATGTGAAAAAAAAAAAAAAGAGTCAGAGGCTAGGCGCCCGCTGCACATGTACTATTTTTTATTGACATATAACACTGTATTCGCTTCAGATAAACAATAGAATGATTTGATATATGTATATATTGTGAAATGGTCCACTCTTTTATAGATGTAAATTTTCATCAATTTCCCACATAGCGGCTCAGTGCCAATTCGGCCCAATGATCTGTAATGAGCTCTTAAGTGTAACTGTCAGGAACAATCCTGAGACTTCCCACGACGAAAAGCACAGAGCTTTGAGGTCAAGACGTGGTTCTCACCTCATGGTTCGTCTTCCTTCATGGTCGCTCAGTTCTGAAAATGTATCAGTAGTGTCTGCACGGGAACGCACTTGCAGCTGATCCTGTCATGGGGAATACAAGTATCTCTGGAATAAACTGCACCCCACCCCCGCCCCGTTCATAACCTGAAAAATCATTGCTTGTGCCCCTAGGCCCTCCATCCGAGGGAGGGGTCATCACGGCGATCCCCTCCGGCCTTTCTCTGTGGCCTTCCAGGCTCCGGATGTCTGCAGTGCCTGATCCCCCACGCGTGCCAGGTGGCGGGCATGGGGAGAAGGGAAAAGGAGGGGATGCAGGTGCCACCGATCGCTCCCTCCATCATGCGGGTGAGCTCCTCCTCCCCCGCGTTCCCCCCCCCCCCCCCCGACAGCGGTCTCCGCGGCTCGCCAGGCCCTGCTCTCCAATTCACGCGCTCCAGCCGCTCCAGAGCCTCTCCAGAAGCCAAGCGCTCTGCCCCGGGCTCTCCCCTCGCAGATGCGACCTCGGATCAGACCCTGGGACCCTACGTGGCACCCATTGAGTTCAAGCCAATCACCTCAGTGAAAGGGAAGGGGATTTCCCCCGGGGAATTTAGCGGCAGAGTATCAAGGACCACCCGCCCAGCATTGGGTCCCTGCGCCACTGGTGGGGGTTCAGATCCCAACAAGGAAAGCCCACCCCGGGAAGGTGGGAGTTACAGAACCAGACGCAAGGTCAGGGTCATCCCCGACTCCGGTTGCTTGGGACCAACAGTCCAACTTGGAGGTACACACCGTTTGAGGCTCAGTTATACTCCGCAGACACCATCCATGGTCCGCAAGTACCCTAAAGAAAACCTGAAATGAACCTTGGAGAGAAGGTTCAAGGACGCACGAAACCGTTTAGATGCAAAAGAAAAAAAAAAAGAAAGGGTCCACACGATCCGCCTGCAGGACTCTACCCAGCCTTCCTCCCCACGCCCCCACGCTTTCCGGCTGGAGGCGCCAAGAGTGGAGCGAGGCTGGGACGAGCAGGGGGTTGGGCTGGACGCCGCTAGGGGTGAGGCCAGAGCCTGGCCCCTGGCGCGCTTCCACCTGCGGAGCGCAGGCTTCTGCTCCGGGGAGGCGGGGAGGCCTGGGCTCAGGGAAGGGGAGGGTCAAAGAGAAGTTAGCTGCCCACCTCTGCCTGGGCGAGAGTGATACGGCCCTGAACACGGGTGTTCGCCACATCGAAGTGACTGTCTGGGAGCCCCCTTCCCACTTTGCGCATCGACTTCCCTTCTCAACCCAGACGCTGGCGCCCAGAAGTTTAGGAGGTAGAGGCCGCTTCCAAGGCGTAGCGGCCTACCGATCTCCCTTTCCCCAGAGGCGGGGCGGAGAAGGGAGCAGACGGTCATCTGTGGGCCCCAATCGCCCATTGTTGAGGATGGAGGCCCCCACGTCGCCTCCGCACCTGGCTCGTCTTGAAAAAATAATTTTTTAAAGCTTATTTGTTTGTAATATCTACACCCACCGTAGGGTTCTAATTCACGACCCGCGAGATCAAGAGTAGCACAGTCCTCCGACTGAGCCAGCCAAGCTTCCTCGGGCTTGAAATCTTGAAGGGTCCACTAGAGACACTGCACGAAAACCGCCAGGACCAAGGAAGGTGAAGGCCAGTGCACTGGCTGGCGGAGGCAGGATGGAGAGGCCCCTCCAGTCTCCCCAGGGCGCAAAGGTGCCCGCATTGCCTTCCGGGCGGGGAAGGTGGGGAGGAAGAGCGCCGGTATTAGGCCTGGAAAGATGGAGAATTCCGGGGGAGCGCGGGAGAGTCCGAAAGGGCAAATCGGCCCTCTAGTCTTGTTATTCTTCGGGCAGAGGATGACTTCTCTGCGGGAGTCAGGTGGGGATGGTGACTAGCACCAAGTCCCATTGTGACGTGCCCGGAGCCTCAGCTGAAGATTGGCGGGGTGTGTGGGGGCGGGGGGAGGGGGTGGTGGTGGTAGTAGAGGGGTGGGAATAAAAGCCCCGGTCGCCAGGACCTGTACTGGACACAGTCTTGGCGCCCAGTGGAGGCCCTCCAGCTTTTGTCCTTCTGCTGGTCCCTTCCTTCCTGGAGCCCTTTAAAGCTGACTCTACAGAGGTGACCGTTCTGACCTGCTGCTCCTCTCCTGAGTCTCAGGCATAGACTCAGGATCCCACTTCTCACCGTATCTACTTCTACCCTTGAGGAAGCCAAAGAAAAAGTAGGGAGGGGCGCCTGGGTGGCTCAGTCGGTTGCACTTACGTTGTCCGACTTCGGCTCAGGTCATGATCTCAGTGTTGGTGGGTTCGAAACCAGCCTCCGGCTCTGTGCTGACAGCTCAGAGCCTGGAGCCTGCTTTGGATTCTGTGTCTCCCTCTCTCTCTGTATCCCTCCCCATGCCCCACCCAACTCTGTCTCTCAAAAAGTAAAATAAAATAAAAAAAAAACATTAAAAAGAAAGAAAATAAAAAGTAAGGAAACACCAGGCTGAACCCCATTGGCTTCAGAAGGAAATACCCAACTTCCAATCCTGTTGGAGAGCACATCACCGGAACAAAGGACATTGTGAGACAATGACCCCAGTGTTATGGGAAATCTCAGACAGCTTGGAAAACTCTGGCCGACAAGGGAAATTGAAGTGACTGTACGAAAGCGTTGTCAGCAGTAAGATCTGTTTGCAGAACACATGAGTGAAAATGAGCGTCAGAAGGAACAGATGCCAGGTATTCCTCACAGCAAGGCTTTTGCAGCTTTTGAGAAAAGATGCAGACCTCTTCCCAATCCAGAGAACAGAGGGGTCAGGTGGGCAGGAGCTGGGCAGACCTTGAGGAGACTGAATCCTGACAAGTCCTTACCGCATGTGGCACAAACCAGAGATGAAAATGTAGGTAGAACCTTTGAACAACAATAAAAATCAGAGCCCTAATGAGCACTGTGGTCAGAGGTTCTGGGTCTGCAAAAGGAGAAGAAAGAAAAAGAAAGGGAATGCTAAACACTTGGGCTCGTGCCCATCCTAGGAAGTGTCAGGGCCCTTGTGGGTGATGTGACAATCACATTTCAGGATAAAATGAGATTAGTTCACCAGGTCCCTGTAATCTTAAATACAGTCATCCCCCACCCACCACCACCACCACACACACCCCTGCCCCAGACAGTCTGTCAATTCCAATCACCAGCATGCTGTGGTCAGCAAACCTAGCTTAGGTAAGTCCACTCTGCCCACATGCTGAAAGTGGCAGGGACAGATTCTTCAGGAAAATTGCCATTTAATTCTGTTTACATCACTTCTTTAGATTCCTGTTATGGACTACATGTTTGTGTCTTCTAAAAATTCATTTGTTGAAACCCTAATCCCCAATGCGATGGTATTTAGGAGGAGGGGTCTTTGGGAGGTAATTAAATCATGAGGGTGTAGCCCTCTGGACAGGATTAGCGCCCTTATAAGACACACAAGAAGGAGGCTCTCTGCTACATGAGGATATAATGAGAAGGCAGCCATCTGCAAACCAGGAAGAGAGCCCTTACCAAGAGGTGAATCTGCAGGCACCTGATCTTGAACTTCCAGTCTCCAGAACTATGAGAAACGAATTTCTGTTGTTTAAATTTCCCAGTCTGTGGTTATCTGTTAGAACCACTCAAACTAAGACAGTCCCTTCTGTTTTTTATTATATTGCAATCTTCCTAAGACTGTGTATTTCTCCATTTTAACACACATTCACACCTTCCTCCCCATTTTCCTTTCATTGATCCCTTCATCATTTAATTTGGCATTTTGTACCATTTTTTCTTGCTTTTCAGTTCTTTGTGTTTTCTACAGCAGTGAATTATGAATTCTCTTCATAATGTGCTATATTTTTGTTGATGCCCATTTTTAATTTTTCAACTGCCTTTTATTTTATTTTTAATTTTTTTAACATTTATTTTTGAGAGACAGAGACAGAGCATGAGCATGGGAGGGGCAGAGAGAGGAGGAAACACAGAATCGAAGCAGGCTCCAGGCTCTGAGCCATCAGCACAGAGCCCGACATGGGGCTTGAACTCACAAACCGCGATATCATGACCTGAGCCAAAGTCGGACATTTAACCACTGAGCCACCCAGGTGCCCCTCAACCGCCTTTTATAGTTTCATTTATTTTTATTTTCCCTCATCTCTCATTTTGTCTTCATGATTTATGGTATAAACTTTATTTCTAATCTTTGTGCCATTATTATTATTATTATTATTATTATTTAGAGAAAGGGTGCCAGTGAGCAAGGGGCAGAAAAAAATCCCACAAGGAGCAGAGAAGGAGAGAAAGAAGTGGGGCTCACCTGAAGCGGGGCTTGTGTTTTTCACCTGAAGCAGGGCTCGAACTCACCCAAGATGGGCTCAAACTCACCAAGAGATCATGAGATCATGACCTGAGCCAAAGTTAGATGCTTAATGACAGCCACCCAGGCTCCCTAAGCTTTGTGCCTTTTGAAATTAACTTCTCATTTATTGTTTTCTGTTCTATTGTTTCTTTTAAACTGCTCTCTCCCCTGTTGCAATCCTCCTGTTCTATTTCTCTTTACTTGCATATATATCAGATCCTCCAGGATTTCTTTGTTCACTCTTCAACTCCTCTCACTTCACTACTGGTGGCTAACTTTGCACCAGTGTAACCTCTCTGTGCTACCCCCTCGTGCCTCCTTGCCATTAGAACTTTGCTTCTCTCCCATTCTGTGATTTAAAAAAAATTTTTTTAATGTTTATTTATTTTTGACAGAGAGAGAGACAGAGCATGAGTGGAGGGAGGGGCAGAAAGAGAGAGACACAGAATCCGGAGCAGGCTCCAGGCTCTGAGCTGTCAGCACAGAGACCAACGCGGGGCTCAAACTTACAGACCGCGAGATCATGACCTGAGCTGAGGTCCGACACTCCCTGACTGAGCCACCCAGGAGCCCCTCCCACTCTGTGATTTTTAAAGCCCCTTTTCTTATACTAGAAATGCACTTGGGGCCTTATTCACCTTTGGTGCACTGAGATGCCATGCTGACATGCTCCTTGTACTTCTAATTTATTGAGCATAGTGACTTCTTCAATTGCTGTCTCTGTGGTTTTTTCATTTATTGTTTTGCTCATTTTCCTCTCTGATCTCACAATAATTTAACACCTATTGAACATCTTGAATGAGACAGCCACGCTTTGAGTTCAGAAACAGAGCTTTAATTTAAGGAGCTCAATTTTTACAGTGGAAGAAGCAGGAAAATAAGCTGACAACTGATTGATGCTACCATGATGTACTTGCCAATAAGAAAAGAATCAGAAGGAATCTTGTTTGATAAGTGAAGGTAATGAACCCTATCCCCCAGCACCATGTTGAATGAGACAATTATCACAATAGCCTTTGTTAACTTGTAAGGAGCTCCCTGTTACAGGGTGGTTCTCCCTGGTATATCTGTGGTGAAAGGAAGCGTCTCTCAAGGTCACCAAAACTGCAATGGCCTCAACTTTTTGTCTAACAGTTGGCCTATCCTCTCTGGAAACCAAATCCCAATGTCACCCCCAGAAATGCAAATCCTTTTAGAACAAATCTTAATGGGTATGATGACTCCTACTCCCACATCCCCACACACTGCTGGTGACAACTTACTGAACTTGTCAGGACTTAAGGAGAAATTTTCTGGCAACACAAGAACATGACATTCAAAGGCTCCTCAGAGAGCACTGGGTTTTTTGTTTGTTTGGTTGGTTTTTGTTTTTGTTCTCAGAGGAGGAAGGAAAGAAAAGGTATTCCAAATGAATTAAACTATAAGGAGACAAATGTCAAGAAAATGGATCTCTGCCCCAGGGAGGAGTCCATTTTCTTTTCTCTTTTTTTTTTTTTATTTTTGAGAGAGCACACGGGACAGCACAGAGCCCGATGCAGAACTCAAACTCACCAACCATGAGATCGTGACCTGAGCCGAAATCGAGAGTCAAATGCTTAACTAACTGAGCCCAGGTACCCTGAGGAGTCCATTTTCTTGATGGACCTAGGAAAATAGTAAATTACAGCCCTCTTGCCCAAGGTGCAGATCCTGGCATTGAGCCTCTAGTCCAGGAGGTTTACATGATGCTCCAGGGACAGCAGGATCCTGGGGTTCACCCCTTCCTTGTCCCTGTTTTCTTCTGAAGATCAATGGCTAAGGGTTAGAAATCATGGGTCTTGGGGAAATCTGTGCGTGGTGACCCCAGGTTTTATTTCTCATTGTTTTCACATAACCACAAATCCTATGTATGTATGTATGTATGTATGTATGTATGTATGTATGTATTTCCACAAATCCTTCTGTTTTTCATACTTGGGCTCTTTCTTGAATAGGGAGGAAAATTGTGCAATCCCATGTGTACAAAGGCAGGAAGCTCCCCTGCCAGTGCTACTCCAAGTACACCCCTACTTTAGAGAAGGAAGAGAGATTAAGGGAATTGAAGCATCTTGCCCAAGTCAGAATTTCTTAACCAGTAATGGTTATCGTGGCCTTTCCAGAAAACAAAACAAAACAAAACAAAACAAAAACAACCAAGATAGTGGTAAGACATCATTGTGCATGGAAAAGAAGTGGCAGAAAGAAGGGCTGGAGTTGTGTAACCCTAGGTCTTGCTTTTTTCCGTCTTCAGAGCCCAGCCCAGAGCTGGGACACATAAAGCTATGCTTGCATCAAACCTACACGGAGCCCGAGCCTGGACACCAGCTTTTCTGGTAACTAGGAATTCTGTGAGAGTCCCAGCTTATCTCCCATCCAACACAGTTGGGAGGAAAGGTCTTCATATGCCCCTGTAAATTCCCACAACAATTTTAAGGCGACAAAGTAAGAAAGCCAGGACGCTCTTTTCTCCTTACTTCCCATTTCTGGCTCCCTTTCAGCCTCCTCCCTC